AGGTGGCAAAGGACGGGGAGGAAGCGAAGCTGGACAGAAGGCGCTCCCCCCCGCTCAAAGGATCAAACATCAAGCACGCTGAGCGTGAACCTGCGTGCCGAAGTTCCGACGGAGTGAGACAGGCACGGGAGATATTTGAACAAGCATCTTGAGGATGGGTGGTAAGGACGCAAGACCCTTGGAGGCCTAAGATGGGCTTTTTGGGCGACGGGCGACCAGTTAGAACGGCAAATGACGGGCCGCAGTGGCAAGGACGCAAGGGCACTGAAGAAAAGGCGCGCGTCCTTACTGTGCGCGTTGACTGTGCATGCGCCTCAATACCGACTGAGAAACTGAGAAGTAAAGAACATACCTAATCTGCATCTGTTCCCACCATCGCAGACATCCTTGATTAGGCCGGTTTGGGCAAGGAGGCATTGGGGCCAGAATACCACAAACACATTCGGGCGTAGGATATGTAGTGGGCTTCCTCTTCCGACCCCCCGCTTCCCCAGCTTACCCCTGCACATATCCTACATCGCAAGACTCCTCCCTCCTCGCCTAAACCATGATATTAGACACTGCGCGAGCCAGGAAGACAGAGGGGTGAGAGGGCATGCACAAGGCACGTGCGAAGAGACCATGCTTGTCTGCCGTGGTCATTTTGTAATTTCTGGTACGCCGTCCTGGTCTGGGCTGCCGCGTTTGTCTCCCATGCTGGTCCGCCGTACCTGCCTGGTCTCCCGTGCGGCTCGTCTGTGGTGTGCTGGTCTCATGCAGCACGACCCTGACCTTCACAACACACCCGACCAGCACAGCCGACCAGACCACTGTGGAAAAAGCACACACCAACGCAAAAACATATACACATACAAACAGACACACACACACACACACACGCACACACGCACACACAAACACACACAAAACACACACACACTGTGGAACAAAAACGCAATGTGGTTTTGTCCAGTGTGTTTTTGTCGACCAGCACGACAGGTACGGGAGACCCGACCACGACGCGAGACCAGCACGCCCGACCAGACCGGCACGGCAGGCCAGACCAGCAATGCAGACCGAGCAAGCAAGGCGTACCATTACCAGCACGCCAGAACGGCACAACACGACATACCAGACCAGCACGGCAGACCAGTGGGCCTCTTGGGCGCCTCTGGGAGGCGTCTCGGAGGTCTCCTGAAGGGGGGGCTCTTGGGGGCCTCTCGGGGGCCTCTTGGGATGCTCTTGTGCCCAGATGAACACAAAAGCGAAGTGCGTATTGTGTCCACTGCTGGCCTTTTCGGAGCATGTAGGCATATGGAGCCTCATCGGCGCCTTCTTGGGCCAGTCTTGGGTGCGCCTTCGGGGCCTCAGGGGCCGTCTTGGGCAGCTCCGGGACCGCTCCTGAGACCCTCGAGGGCCTTTGGGACACTACCGAGACCACAAAGGCGAGCATGCGCGGTCCATGCGGCACATCGGAGCGGCCTTGGGGCGTCTTGAATAGGAGAATAAAAAAACGACATAACCATACGCTTTTGGCGCTTCGCGCGGATTTCTTAGATCCGCGCTGGACCCTCCCAGGCCCCTGGGAGGCCTCCTGGGACAGTCTTGGAGCGCGAGCATCCTCCGCACGCCCTGGGCCCCGTGCTCGAGCGGGGACAGGAGGGGCTCGCCCGCCCAAAATGGGGAAAGCCCCCGGGAGGCTTCGCAAGCGGTCAAAGTGTCCAAGATTGCCCAAGATGGCCCCAACAGGGCCCCAGGTAGCTCAGGATGGCCCCCAAGATTGCACAAGGTAGCCCAAGATGGCTCTAGATAACATCTCACAGGCGTCCAACAGGTCCCAAGACCCCACCAAAACGGTTCCAAGTGGCCATAGAGCCTCTCAAGGACCCCCCTCAAGACGCAAACATCACCCCAGAACGAAAGCAAGATCAATGATATGTGTTGTCTCGCCTTTTCGCTTCGACCGACTCTGGAGGCCTCAAGGTGGCTCCAGGATTGCCCAAGAAGTCCCAAGAAGGCACCCAAGAGAGCCCCAAACAAGCCCCGAGAGCGCCACAGAGCCCCTCAAGAGCGCTCCGAAAGGGCCCCAAGAGGCGACGCTGGGGCACAAGAGGGGCAGGCGAAAACTAGGACACACCCCCTCGCTCAAAGCCAAAATCATCGAAACATCGCATGCTGGTTCAAAACGTTCTGTATGTCGGGGGCTTCCTTGGGAGGCATGTTGGCCAACACGGCTCCAACATAGCTTCAGAAAACCGCATATGGCCCTCGAGATGGCACAACACATACCCCAAGCTGGCTCAAGTTGACCATCAATGTACCTCCGAGAGGCCCTACATAGAACACAGAGCAGCCCCAGATACGTCCAAAACGGCCCCGAGTAGCCAAGGAGCTCCCCAAGAAGGTCCCCAAGAGGCAAACAGCAGTCCAAAACCAATGGAAAATGAAAGATGGTTGTCTTGTCGCCAGTTCGCTTCCGATCGGCTTCGGAGGCATCAGGATGGCTCCAATGTGGCCCAGGAGGGCCGGAAGAGAAACCCTAGAGGGCCCAGCACGGCTCCAAGAGCGCCCAAGAGAGCGCCAACAAAACCCGAAGACAGGAGCCCAAGAGACGACTCTTGAGGCTCAAGAGGGGCACGCGTAAATCCACCGATACGGCGTGTGATTTACGCTGGGTGGGGTGGGGTGCTGGGGTGGCTATGCCGAGGAAGGGAGGGATGGCGGTGCGTGTACTATAACTTTCCCAGCCCCCCCGGAGGACCCATTTTGTGATTGGTTTGCCCATGTCGGATATGTGGGGGAGGTTCCCCCTCCCTCTTCTCGACACGTCCCTGGCGTCGGCGTCCAAGACGCCCAAAGGCAGCTTCCAAAACGGACCTTGGAGGCCACCACGGCCGCCAAGATGCCCCAAACTGTCTCCAAGACAGCCGAAGAGGAGGCCACAAAGAAGCCCCGAGAGCGCTCCAACAAGAGGACCCCCATGAGGGCTCCGAGAAGCAAAAGTAAATTCGGTGTTTTCCGCGTGATCCCCTTTTCAATCTTCCGACGCTCCAAGACGGCCCCAAGGGCCCCAAAGACAGCCAAAAGACGGCCGAACAAGCCCCCTAAGAGGGTCCTTAGACAGCCCAAGAGTGCCCCAACAGAGGGGGGCCCAAGAGGGGGAACACGAACCGACAATTCCAGCCTGCCGCCCGCAGAGGCCCCCAGGAGACCCCAAGAGGCCTCCAAGGAGCCCCAAGAGGCCCCAAAGAGGCCTCCAAGAGGCCGCCAGGCGGCCCCGAAAAGGTTTCGAAGTTGCCTCCAGCAAGCCCCGATAAGGATCCCACGATATCGCGACGATCATCACAATCATCATCACCATCATCACAATGCATCATCATCAGCATCATCATCAGCATCATCATCAGCATCACCACCACCATCACTTTCATCATCATCATCATCATCATCATCATCATCATCAGCATCATCATCGTCGCCATCGTCATCGTCATCGTCATCATCATCAGCAGCATCATCAACATCAGCAACGGCATCATCATAAGCATCAGCATCCTTATCATCATCACCAACAACAACATCACCCCGACCGACAACACCAACATCACCGTCAGCATCCGGATCATCAGCAGCATCATCAGCACCATGGTAAAAGTGTCCTTAACATCACCATCATCACCATCATCATCAATATAATAATCACAATCATCACCATCACCATCACCATCACACTCGTCATAACTACCATCATCATCATCATCAGACTCGTCATCCGCATCATCACCACCACATCACCATCACCATCACCATCACCATCACCATCACCATCATCACCATCATCATCATCATCATCATCATCATCATCATCATCGTCATGACCATCACCATCACCAGTATCAACACCACAACCAGCATCACCATCATCACAATTATCATCACAGCACCATCATCATCATCAGCATCATCATCATCACCATCGTCGCCAGCCTCATCATCAGCATCAGCATCACCACCGCCAGCATCATCATCATCATCATCATCATCATCATGATCATGATGATCATCATCATCATCATCATCATCATCATCATCATCATCATCATCATCATCCTTGCCACTATCATCATCGTCATCATCATCATTAGATCATTAGCATTGTCGTGATATTTCTCATCATGTGCACCCCTAGCAAGTGCGGCCTCTGGAGATCCCTTGAAGGCATGCTGTGTTGGCACGGTGGGCGGGACTTGCCGCAGGCCACCGGATGTGTGAGGAGGATCCCCAGGACCCACCCAGAACCAAGGGAGGGAGCCCCCCCTCCCGATCCCCGGGACTCCTCACCCGGATCCGCTCCGGATCGGCGGCACTGACCTCAGGCCGCTCAAATCAGACTCCCCCCCTTCTTTGATCGATGTCCTCCAAGATGTCCCCAGGAGGCCCTCCGGGGCCCGAAGACGGCGCCGAGAAGGCCCCAAGAGGGCCGCAGCAGGGAGGCCCCCCCAAATGGCTCCAGCATGGCCCCAAGATGGCTCAAAAAGGTGCCAAGAGGCTCCCATGTCGAAAGATCTGCGGCGACGGCATTCATCGTTCCTCCTATACCTGCTTCGACAGATACCGAGCTTCGGTTTGCCCCGCCTTTGCTCAACTGCGTGCTCCAGGACGTTCCTCATCAATGCAGCTCGCCTAGGCATCGTTGCTGGATGGGCTGGTGAGGATATGCGAAGCGTCAAGATGTTTGAATTCCAGTGCTAAGCAGTCCCCTCTTAATGCGAGTTCTAGCGGATTTTACCAGCCCCGTCGTAGTCCTCTGCCTCAGCTGCTCCTCATCAGTGGTTCCCGTCGCTCATCATCCATGGCCCATCATAATCCTACTTTGCTTCTCCTTAATCGTCTTCGCCGCTCATCATCCACTTCCATATCATCCACCTTTCCCTCCAAATCTCCTCCTCCTCATCATCATCATCCTTCACCAACTTCTTCGACTGGCTCCTCCTTACCCTCTCCCGGACAAGCCGCGGAGCCTTCACGGCAGCCTGCTGCTTGCTTGTGAGAGCCTCCGCGGAGGTGACCTTGCAGAGCACCAAGCCTGGGAAACTGCCAAACTCAACAGGAATACTGCAAGGAGGACGAGGAGACCCACGACGAAAAGGACGAATAATCAGAGGGGGAGGAAAAGGCCAGGGAGAAGGAGGACGACGACGAGCAAGAGGACAACGAGGAGGAAGAGGCGGCGAACGAGGACGAAGAAGATGAGGCAGCAAAAACGATGCGGACAAGGACAAGAACGAGGACAAGGAGGATCAGACGCTAACCGCTCAGCGGTCGTCGAAGGTATTGTAGCCAAAGGTCTCAACTCAGTTACCGTAAGACGACGGCAGGATGAAGATACATCTGGATGAGTGTACATCGGGAATGTCTGAAGGCTGGTGGGTCTGGAGGATGTATCGGGCGCCGCGGCCGTTTCAGAGCGCTCCGAGAGCGTTCCGCAACGCTCTGGGGTAATTCATCTTCACCCTAGGCGTGCCCGATAAATTGCCTTCCCCTGCCCTCCACACGACACCGGGCTGGGCCGGGCCAGGACGAGAGCCGCGCGGGGTTTGGCCCTTCCGCAATACCCTTCTCCGCGCGGTAGAAGGTCTCGTAGAGATCGATCATCCTCGCCGGGGGCCGCGCGGTCATGCGCCTTGCGACACTCCCGCAGGACGGCTCCGACCTGTGTGCCGCAGCTTTGCCTTGCGCAATCGATGGCAGGCGCGCGATGGAAGATAGAAGGGCTGGACCTAAACGTTGTTGTTCGTTCTGTGTTTCGTTTTGCTCCACCTGTTTTCCTGTACCTCCCTGCCAAAACGAAAACAACATACAGCCGAAGTCCAGCAACACAGCGTTTAGGTCCAGCCATGGGAGACAGCACGGTACTCAAACCACATCCCGCGACAAAGCTGACCGAGCACGGATGAAAAAGACGGAGCGAAGACTCGCGGCCAGGGCACTTGCCGAGACCACCGCGCGTCGCGCGTCCTCCCTGCCGACTGTAACTTACGGCGCGCGGGCTTCCAGCACCGCTCGCCTCTCCCTGCACATCAAGCATCGATCGGGTTGCTTTCGCTTCCGCTTCGGTGCCTGCTTCCCCCGGCCTAACAAATATAGGAGACGGGAAAAGCAAGACGAGAGGAGAGGGGGGACCAAAAAGAAACGGAAGCGAGCCAACGGCAATGCCAAGGCCCCATGCTGCAACTCACTGGGAACAACGTGTCCTCTTACTTCGAAGACTACGCGTGCTGACAAGACAAGCATCGACCGGGGAGGAGACCAGGGCGAGGGAGATAACGGGCGGAGCGATGGAAGATGGGATCCCAATGCCCCGTGGGCCACCCAAGACGATCCTTCAACGTAGTGGGCGTCCAAGGGGGGGGGTCGCAAATCTCATGGGCCGAAGCAAGTGCGCGGCGCAGGGGGGGGCCAGGAGACGCATTGAAGAAAGTCAAGTGAGATGAAGGGGTAGGATAGCAATGGGGTTGGGTGGATAGAGGAACACAAAACTACATAAACATAAACTTTTGGAGGATCCGCGCCGGACCCCCCTCCCCGGCGCGCGGAGCGCGCCAGGGGCGTTGCCGGAGGCGCTGCCAGAGGGGCCCAGGCGCCGACCCAAGAAATCCGCGCGGGGCGTCGGAAGTTTATTCCCCACATCCTGAAGGGGGTTATTGTTTTCCCAGAACATCCTCTCCTTCTCCCTCCCGCCTCCCGCCTTCCACCTCTCCCACCACTCCAGGGAGGCCCCACCTGAGCGAGGAGGGAATCGGAAACCCATACTATTTACATGGTTTCGTGTCCCTCCCACCCCTCCAGGGAGGCCCCGCCTGAGCGAGGAGGGTATCGGAAAACTAAACATTTACATGGTTTCGTGCCCCTCCCTCTCCTCCAGGGAGGCCCCGCCTGAGCGAGGAGGGTATCGGAAACCCATACTACTTGCATGGTTTCGTGCCCCTCCCACCCCTCCAGGGAGGCCCCGCCTTAGCGAGGAGAGTATTGGAAACCCATACTATTTACATGGGTTCGTGCCCCTCCCTCCCCTCCAGGGAGGCCCCGCCTGAGCCAGGAGGGACTCGGAAACCCGTACTACTTACATGGTTTCGTGCCCCTCCCATTCCTCCAGGGAGGCCCCGCCTGAGTGAGGAGGGTATCAGAAACCCATACTATTTACATGGTTTCGTGCCCCTCCCACCCCTCCAGGGAGGCCCCGTCTGAGCGAGGAGGGTATCGGAAACCCATACTATTTACATAGTTTCGTGCCCCTCCCTCCCCTCCAAGGAGGCCCCGCCTGAGCGAGGAGGGTATCGGAAACCAATACTGTTTACATGTTTTCGTGCTCCTCTCACCCCTCCAGGGAGGCCCCGCCTGAGCGAGGAGGGTATCGGAAACCCGTACTACTTACATGGTTTCGTGCCCCTCCTTTCCCTCCAGAGGGGGCTCCGTCTGAGCGAGGAGGGTGTCGGAAGCGACGAGGAGGGTCGCGGAAAGCATTACTCTTTACTAGGTTTCGTAGCCCTTCCCCCTTCCAGCGGGGCCCCGCCAGAGCGAGGAGGTTATCAAGAAACCGTACTATTTACAAGGCTTCGTTTCCTGGGCGCCTGTCCTCCCTCCTCCTTTCTTTCGTCTGCCCTTTCGTGCGTACTTACTCGTTCGATGAGCTTCTTCGTCGTGTTGATGTTGTCGTACCCCGTGGGTCCCACGAAACCGTTAATATCTTTATGTGGGGAACTCCGTTAGCATAATGCTTATACCGTTTTGTTATCATTGTTGTCATTATCCTTCTTCTTATTATTCTTCTCGTCGAGGATGTTTGCTCACGTAGCGCTTGGTATGGGTATGGCCGCCTCTTGGCGCCAGGAGGCCCCCATGCATCGAGGAGTGTGCCCAGCGGCGGGGCCGAAACTGGCTGCATGCAGTGCACGCAGCAGATTTCGTACCGTCCCTTTCCTCGCTCCTCCCTCCTCCCTCCCCTCCCCCCTCCTCCCTCCTTCTTCCTCCTCCTCCTCCTCCTTCTTCCCTCCTCCCTCCTCCCTGCTCCCTCCTCCCTCCTCCCTCCTCCCTGCTCCCTCCTCCTCCTCCTCCTCCTCCTCCTCCTCCTCCTCCTCCTCCTCTCCCTGCCCTGCTCGTTCGTCCAGCCCGGGAAGAGGGGGCCACGAGACCTGGGAGACCTCATGGCCCCCGCCATGATACTCGGACCCCCCGACGATCATCCCCCTCTTGGCCGCCCACGGAGAGGGGGTCTTGGGCCCCACCGGGAGCCCTTCAGAATCAGCCTGTTCATCCAGAGTCGACTTCTGACCAATCCAGAGCCCTGGAAGGGTCACGGGAGGCAGAAGATGGCGGGAACAATTGAGTCCCAACCGCACCACTTCTGCACGGCAACGGCTGGAAGAGGAGGCGGGCGACGAGGGTGTCTCACATCCCCGGATGCTCGAATACGCGCTTCGATTGTCCCTGTCTTTTGCCTTTCTGGTTGTGGCATCGCTGTTGTTCTTGCATGGCTGTCTTCAACTGATCGAAATCGGACTCGACCATTACCTGCATTCGCGTCCGGTCGAGAGGAGGAGGCGGCCGATGAGGGTGCGGAGGAGGGGGCAAGGAGGGAAGGGATGCAGAGGACGACAAAAGGTTCCCAGTGGATCTCGGCCGATTCCGCCTGCCCACCAAAATACGGGGGCATCTCAAATTGCCCAAGATGATCCGCAAGATAGCCGCCAAGACGGTCAAGATGGCCCAAGATGGTCTCCAAGTCGGCCAAGATGGCACCAACTCGGCCCAAGGCTGCTCCAAGACGCCCCATGAGGGGGGCTCTCAGAGGAGCTCGAGGAGACCAACATCATTAATTTCCCACTGGTTGTTTATTGATTGTCGGGTTCTCGCGCTTTCGGGCTTTCGACATCGGGAGACGGCCCCAAGAGGCTTCCAAGACCACATGTGGGCCCTGAGACGGGCCAAGAGCGCGCCAAGACGGCCCAAGAGGTCCCCAAGACGGCCCCAGAAAGGCCACAGAGACGGCCCCATAGACCTCCAAGACGGGCCCAGAATTACCCAAAGAGGGCCCAACGACACGCCCAGAGCGGCCTCCAAGACAGCCTCCAAAGGACAAGAAGCATCTTTGAAACACTTAAACGCCTCCAAGGAGGCCCCCAGGTCTCCATGAGGGCCCAAGAGGCCGACTCCTTGACTCAACGTTCCCGCCCGTTTTCTGCCGAATTCCGTTCCTCTTTCTCTTGTTATCTCTCCTCTCTTCTCCTCCCCCTCTCTCTCTCTCTCTCTCTTGAATATCTCTCTCTCTCTCTCTCCTCCTCCCTCTCCCCTCCTCCCTCTCTTGACTCTCTCTCTCTCTCTCCTCCTCTCTTCTCCCTTCCTCTCTCTCTCCTCCTCCCTCTGTCTCTCTCCTCCCTCTCTTGTCTCTCTCTCTCTCTCTCCTCCTCCTCTCCTCTCCTCCCATTCTATTTACCCCGCCCCGCCACAAAAATAATACATATATAAACATATATATATATATATGTAAATCCGCTTCCCCCGTGTCCAGCTCCACCTCCTTCTCTTATTCCTCCTCGTCATCGTTCTCCTCCTGCTCCACACGAGGAATCCATGTTGAGGCCCCTCCACATAAAAGGGTCGATATATGAAGGGCTTTTCCACATGAGAAATCAATGTGTGCAGGCTCCTTCACAGAAGGAACTCATCTATGAAAGCCCCTCCTACATACGGATTCAACATGTTGAAGGCCCCTCCACACAAGATATCAATATGGAGACCCCTTGCAGATAAGGAATCAATATGCGGCGGTCCCTCCACAGACAAACTCAATATGCGGAGGCCCCTCCACATATTGAATCTATATTCGAAGGCCCATCCACATAAGGAATCCATGTGGAGACCCCTTTGACCTAAGAAATGAATATGTGAAAGTCCTTCCACAGACGAAATCAACATGTGGAGGTCCCTTCCACATAAGAATCAATGTGGAAGACTCCCCCCCCACAAGAGGAATCAATCTGCGCGAGGCCCCTTGCACATAAGGAAACAATATGGAGGAGGCCCCTCCACAAAAAGGAAACAACATCATCTTTCTCCTCCTCATCTTTCTCCTCCTACTCCTTCTGCCCCTTCTTATCCTCAACCCCTGCGCCAAAGCGGGAGGAGGAGGGGGGGGAGCAGGAGGAGGAGGATGAACAGGAAATCGCCCGCCGCAAAAGAACTCAAATGGTGGAGGTCCCTCCACAGACGGAATCAACATGTGGAGGCCCCTCAACTTAAGGAATCGATGATTTGTATGCCCATCCACATAAGGAATCAATATGTGCAAACCCCTTCCAACATAAGGAATCAACAAGTTGGAGGACCCTCCACAACAAAAATCAATATGGAGACCCCTTGCACATAGGGAATCATTATGTGGAGGTCCCTCCACAGACGGAATCAACATGTGGAGGTCACTTCCACATAAGGAATCAATATGTGAAGGATCCCCAACAAAAGGAAACAATATCATCTTTCTCCTCCTCATCTTTCTCCTCCTGCTCCTTCTGATCCTTCTTCTCCTCAGCCCCTGCGCCGGAGTGAGAGAAGCACGGGGAGGATGAGCAGAAGGAGGAGGAGGAAAAGTATATCGCCCGCCACAGAACGAATCGATATGTGAAGGTCCCTCCACAGACGGAATGAAGGTGTGGAGGCCCCTCCACATAAGGAATCGATATTAAAAAACCCATTCACATAAGGAATCCAGATGTGCAGGCCCTTTCACATAAGGAATCATTAGGTGAAGACCCCTTTCCACATAAGGACTGAACAAGTTTGAGGCCCCATCCACATAAGAAATCAATATGGAGATCCTTGCACATAAGGAATCAACATGTGGAGGTCCCTCCACAGACGGAATCAACATGTGGAGATCCCTTCAACATAAGGAAACAATATGTGGAGGATCCCCGACAAGAGGAATCAGGCCCTTACCACATAAGGATTCAACGAGTGGGAGGCCCCTCCACACAAGATGTCATTATGGAAGCCCCTTGCACATATGGAATCATTATGTGGAGGTCCCTCCACAAATGGAATCAATATGTGGAGGCCCCTACACATAAGGAGTCGATGATTGAAGGCCCTTCCACATAAGGAGTCAATATGTGCACGCCCCTTCACATAAAGAGATAATCTGTGAAGGCCCCTTCCACATGAAGAATCTGCAAGTGGGAGGCCCCTCCACACAAGAAATCAATATGGAGACCCCTTGCACATAGGGAATCAATATGTGGAGGTCCCTCAACAAACGGAATCAACATGTGGAGGTCCCTTCCACATAAGGAATCAATATGTGGAGGATCCCCCACATAAGGAAACAATATCATCTTTCTCCTCCTCATTTTTCTCCTCCTACTCCTTCTGCTCCTTCTTCTCCTCAACCCCTGCGCCGGAGTGGGAGAAGGAGGGGAAGGATGAGAAGGAGGAGGAGGAAAAGGAGATCGCCCGCCACAGAACGAATCGATATGTGAAGGTCCCTCCACAGACGGAATCAAAATGTGGAGGCCCCTCCACATAAGGAGTCGATATATGAAGGCCCATCCACATAAGGAATCAATATGTGCAGGCCTCTTCACATAAGGAATTAATATGTGAAGGCCCCTTCCACATAAAGAATCTACAAGTGGGAGGCCCCTCCACACAAGAAATCAAGATGGAGATCCTTGCACATAAAGAATCAATATGTGGGGGTCCCTCACAGACAGAATCAACATGTGGAGGTTCGGACGTCAGAAAACATTGTAGAATGCATCGTTTCTGAAGGGTGGACTGGTGAAATCGCTGTGTTTTACAGTGTTGTTTTGTTTCGGAGGTCAGAAAGCATTGTAAAAAACAGCGTTTTGAAGCTCTGATTCTTGAAAACAGCATGGGTGACTGTTGAAACGCTGTGCTTTCCAATGTTTGTTTGTTTCGGGGGTTAGCAAGCATTGTAAAACACAATGTTTTGAAGCTCGGATTGCTGAAAACATTGTGTTTTGCAATGTTTTTTTGATTCGGGTGTCAGAAAACATTGTGAAACACAATCCTCTTGGACGGGTGACTGTTGAAACGTTGTGTTTTACAATGTTTTGTTGTTTCGGGGGTTAGCAACATTGTAAGACGTAGTGTTTTGAAGCTGGGATTTGTGAAAACATTGTGTTTTACAATTGTTTGTTGGTTCGGGTGACAGAAAACATTGTACAACACATTGTTTTTGGACGGAGGGCTGTTGAAACGCTGTGTTTCACAATGTCTTTTTGTATCGAGCGTTAGAAAACATTGTAAAACACAGTGCTTGGGATGTCGGACTGCTGAAAACACTTTGTTTTACAATGTTGTTTTTATTGTTGCATGTAGAAAAACATTGAAAAACATTGGTTTTTGGTTGTGCGACTGCTGAAAATGCTGTCTTTTGCCATGTTTTTCATTTCGGAAGTAAGCAAAACATTGTAAAATGCAGCGCTCCAGAGGTCGGAGGCACCCGACGGACGCCTCAGATAAAGTTTTGAGGGGGCCCCCCAAAAAAACAGAAAATTCCCCAGAGGGCAGATTTGTTTTTTTTTTGTTCCGGGCCCCGCCCCACCGCCCCCCCCCCCCCAAAAAAAAATCGGCCCTCGGGCGATTTTTGTTTTTTTGGGGTCCCCTCAAAACTTTTTCTGGCCTCCTTTCAAAAGGAATCCCTTTGAGAGCCGGAGGAGGGAGGAGGGAGGACGGAGGAGGAGGAGGAGGAGGTGGAGGAGGAGGAGGGACAGGGGGAGGAGGAGAAGGAGGATGGGGAGGTGGAGGAGGAGGAGCAGCAGCAGCAGGAGCACGCGGAGTTGGAGGAGGAGGCGGAGGCGGAGGAGGAGGAGGAAGAGGAGGAGAGAGAGAGAGAGAAACAGAGAGAGAGAGAAATAAAGAAAAGAGAGAAACAGAGAGAGGAGGGAAGACAGAGAGAGAGAGAGAGAGACAAATAACCAAACAAAAAAGGAAATCAACAGAAAAAGGGCGGGAACGTTGAGTCAAGGAGTCGCCCCCAAGAGGCCCCTCAGAGGCGTTTTTGTTCCCCCCTCTTCCACCTTTTCTTCCTCTTCCGCCTCGTCCTCTAAAAAAGTTCACCCTCAAGGGCTTCCAATGGGCGAACACACAGTCCAATAGCGTTGCAAGACTTCGTCCCAAGGTTTGGCCACATAGGCGGTTCCAACAGGCCCGGGGGGGCTGTGGTTCCCAAAGGCGTCTCCCGCACGTACATTGACAGGCGCATGTGAGATGACTTACACATGTATAAGCCTGTATGTATGACAAATGCGTGTACGATGGCCTACAACACATACGTTTGTACGTACACACATACACATGTGTATATAAATATATGTGTATATACACATATCCGACACCGTGCCGCAGAGCGCGGAGTGGGCGTGTCCTCAGATCCTCTGTCTACTCCTCTAAGCCTCAATCCTCACTCCTGTGGGGTCCTTAAGGGGACGGGACCCCCTTGGGCTTAGGCAAGTTTTGGCGCGTGATTTGTTCGGGCCCAAGGGGGCCCCAATACGGGCCAATAGGGCCCCAAGAGGCCATAGTCATGCATGATCATTGGGTTGCTGAAGGATTCGCGCGCCCTCGACATCTGAGCTTCCCGACGCTCCAAGACGACCCAAGAGGCCCCAAAACAGCCCCAGGAGAGCACAAGAGGCCTCCAAGAAGGCCCCCAAAGAGCCTAAGAGGGATCCAAGACGGCCCAATAGGCGTCCAAGACGGCCCAAGAGACGTCCAAGACGGCCCAAGAGCGCCCCAAGACGGCCCCAAAAGGGGCGCCAGAGAGGGAACACGAACCGAACATCGGAGCCATTCCGCCCCAAGAGGCCCCCAGGAGGCCCCAAGAGGCGCCCAGGAGGCCCCACAAGGCCCACGAGATGCCCCCGAGAGGCCCCCAAGAGGCCCCAAGAGGCCCCCCAGAAGCCCCTGAGACGCGTCCAGACTGCCTCCAAGAGACCCCCGAGAGGGCTCACACGGGATGGCGAACATCCAATGGGCTTCACACCCACGGCGCAGGCACGGTGGCGGGATGGGCCGAAGGCCACGAGATGCATGCCGGAGGCATGCGAACCATCTGCACCTCGCAAACGAGAAAGAGCCAGGGGGAGGATGGCGGCGGAGGCGCGGAGGCTGCGGGCTCGCGCGGCGCTCCTGGACAGCAAGTACAGCCGCTTGTTCTGCGGGCGGCGCGCGCTCGGCGAGCCCGAGGGGAGGCGCCGACGCATCGAGACCTCGAGGCCCGAAGCTTTGTTGATCAACGCTCGATCCTTTGACTATCGGTTCTCGACGCCTTGTCGATGGGCCTCGACGCTTGGTTGATCGAGGTTCAATCATCGACGCGTTTGTGATCGATCCTCGACGCCTTTCTGAATCCGCTTCGCTCCTCCTTCGATCCCCGAAGCCCCGCGCATCGGGGATCGGAGCTTTCGAAGTTTTGAGCGCTTGGGTCTCGGGAGGCCTTAGGGAGTCTCAGGAGCCCCCCAGAGGCCTCAAGACGTCGTCGTCGTCGTGACGGTCGTCGCTGTCGTCGAAATCGTCATAGCAACCTCAGTGGCCGTCGTCGTGTTAGTCGTCCTCCACCTCCTCTTCCTCCTCCTTCTCCTCCCCTTAACCCCTCCTCGGCGTTCTCCTCCTCCTTCTCCTTCTCCTCCTCCTCCTCCTCCTCCTCCTCGGCCTCCTCTTTCGAGTCACCCTCCTGCTGCTCCTCGCCCTCATTTTTGTCCGCATGCTCCTCCTTCTCCTCCTAATGCTCCTCCTCCTCCTTCTCCTCCTCCTCCTCCTCCTCCTCCTCTGTCTTTCTCTGTGGCTGTTCAGAGGGTGCACCTGGTCCTCCTCCTCATCCTCCTCCTCCCCCCGTCCTCCCCCGTCTGCCCCACGCCCTGATCCCGATCATGCGCCCCCTCCTCCTCCTTTGTCCTTCCCCTCCTCTACCCCCTTCTCCTCCTCTTCTTCCTTCTCCTCCTGCTCCTCCTCCTCCTCCTCCTGCTCCTCCTCCTGCTCCTCCTCCTCCTCCTCACTGTTCTTATCCTCCTCCTCCTCTTCCGCCTCCTCCTCGTCCTCGTCATCCTCCACATCATTCCCATAAGAATCCTCATCACCACCATGGCCACCACACCACCACAACCACCGTCATCGTCGTCATCGTCGTCGTGGCCGTCGTCGTCAGCATCATCATCATCAGCAGCTGCAGCATCATCATCATGAACAGCATTATCATCATCAGCATCATGATCATCATCCTCGTCGTCATCATCACCACCACCATCAACCCCAACGCCACTATCGGCACAATCACCATCATCAACATCATTATCAACATCATCAACATCACCAGCATCACCACACTCATCGGCAAGATCAACAACGTAATCACCATCATAATCGCCAACACGATCGTTATAATTACCATCACCGTCATCATCGTCACCATCAGCATCGCCACCATCAATAACATCATCATCAACATCCCCCTCGTCATCGTCATCACCTCCGTCATCTTTATCACACCGCCACCATCAACACCACCGTCGCTGCCACCACCACCACAACCGTCATCATCATCAGCAGCAGCATCAACATGATCAGCATCATCATCATCATCATCATCATCATCATCATCATAATTTCCATCATCGTCATCACACATATAAAGATGAAGATGATGATGATCGTCATCATCATCATCGTCACCATCACCATCACCAACAACATCATCACCACCGTTATCGATATCATCACCATCACCACAATCATCATCATCATCATCACCACCACCACCATCATCATCATCATCATCATCATCATCATCACCAACACTATACTCATCAACATCATCCTTACCGTCACCATCACCATCATCAATATCATCATCGTCAACATAACCACCATCATCACCATCAACGTCCTCTTCCGCATCATCATCTTCGACATATCAGTACCGTCATCACTACAGAAGGGCCTTTGGTACTTTGCGCATGATGGTCTCGCCATGTAGAGCATTGGCTTGCTCAATGCAATCAAAGAACGCAATCAGCGTGTACAGCGAGTTTATTGCAGCTTGGCACGCCCCTCCCACCAGTCCACTCAAGCCCCAGGCTGGAGGCATCTACGACCCAGCCGAAAGTGGCGCAGCCTCGATAAGCACCTTCATGAAGTTGAGGATGGCTGGATCGGCCTTGATCTTCTGGACAATCGCGTCCAGGGCCTGGCGAGGCGCTGGCTGGGGCTCGTGGGTCCATGCGATGAGATACGTGCGTGTTACATTTCGAAGACTGTGCTTACTCCTTCCCTCCTCCTCCTCCTCCTCCTCCTCCTCCTCCTCCTCCTCCTCCATTTGATAACTCTTCCCACAAGTCCCACAAGTCCCTGGCGCCATCGAGTGATGACATCTCCATGGGGCACATGCTTGCAGGCTGGTTTCTGGGTTGATGTGCCGTCCGCACCCCCATTCCACCTTTGTCTCACACTCCACCTCCCCTTCCATTTACTCCCAACCCCCCTTCTTCGGGCGGGGCTAGGACGATGAGAAATTCGTTCCAGAGCGTTCTAGAGCGCTCTCAGAGCATTCTGGAACGTTCACGCTCTGAGAAGGCCGCGGCGTCTGAGACATCCTTCAAAGCCGCCGGGTCTCAGAGATTCTTGATTTATCCTCACCCGATTTTGTCCTCGTCCTGGCTCCGTCCTACCCGCTCCCTGTATTCGAACATTATGCTCTTTGCTCCTCGCCCTCTTCGTCCTGCCATGCCTGCCTCCTCTCTGTCCTCATCATCTCCCCCGTTCGCCAGAGCTGGCAGCAAACGGGCACGACTTGACCGGACCCAAAATCCTAATCCTCATCATCCTCTCGGGCACGGACTCACCAACCCCTAGAAGACCATCCCCTTCCGTGACATCATACTCGCCTCTCAAGCTCCCCTCTGGCCGCATACATCAGTCTTGGGGCGAGACGAGGGAGACGTCACGGAAGTGGACGGTTTGCCAAGGGACGGTTAGGCCGCCCCTGATCCTCCTCCCCATCTCTCGGCCAGTCCAGAGGTAGGATGGGGCCAGGGCACAAACACCTCGGAGCGGGGGGAAGGGGCGGGTGCGGCCAGACCGGAGGGCCTCCAGAGCCAAGACGCTGGGCAGGATGGGCAGGGGCGAGAGAAATGGGAGAAACATCGGGAAACGTGGGGAATCGAAGGTTGTGTTGCATCTCTGGTGGACCTTGTCTGTCTCATCGCGCCGCCATCCGCGTCGAACCCATGTGGAATCCGCGTGGAATATGCGTCGAATCCACTTCAGATCCGCGTCGAATCCGAGTTGGACCGACGTGGGATACAAGATAAGACCGCCAATTACAGGACAGAGAAGGCCCACATAAATGCAACAAGAAAGGAGGGTGTGGTGGATAAGGCCCACGAGGAGAACGTGGAGAGTGGGGCAATTAGAAGGAAGAGCAAAAGCAATCTCAGTTAAACGCCGCCGTGGGGATCTCTGGCGCGTTAAACGAAGAATAACACGCTGACAGGTTCCCAAGGGCAGCGTATCACTGATACTCCTTCTCTCTCCCGAAAGATGGAAGAGGGAGAGGGAGGCGGGGGAATGAAGCGGGTAGAGGAGAGCACCAAAAAAGATACGTATTTAACGGGGACAACGACATGGACGAGGAAACGGGCGGGGGCAAGGACGGGGACGAGGAGCCAGACGGGGAGACAAAGACACGGGATGGGGGTGAGGACGCGGTCGAGAACTAAACCGCGTGGGTTGGGACGAGGACAAGGCCAACCAAAGTCTGGGGGAGCAGACGACGAAAACGGCGAGAAAGATGACGAAGAGGTACCGAGAGGCGCAGCTGACGGGGGGGAGCGCTGGAAGTAGCAGATTGAAGAGGGGCAACCGCTCGCCCTTATCAAGGGACCACCCCTCCGCACAGAGCCAAGCACTTCGAGCGAGCCAGGCTCGGAGAGCGCAAGCAAGGCCGTGCACGGCGAAACCATAATCGACAGCGAAACCGAAGACGAAAACGAAAACGGCAGGCCGCAAGCAACCGAGAGAAGCGAAGCAACGCGGCAAGGGCACGGCAACCGACTGAACCGAACCGACCGAGCGAACACCGACTGCGACGCAGCCGAACTGCGAATGCCCTTGCCGGGCGTTGCTTAATGGGGGCGGTTAATGGGTAGGGGGGAACATTGCACCTGTCGTTTCCCTTTTGGGCCCCCAGGGGGCCCATCCAGGACAGAAAACGTGCACCATTCTCCGCTCCTTCATCCATCGCCCCCCCATTGCGCAACGCCCGACCTTGGCAAGCTCAGTGGCCGTCGGCGACCAAGAGAGCGAGCACGCGCTCGCCGTGAATCCCCACGCCCTGCGCCCTCACACCCTGCCCCCGGCCAATCGGCTAGGGCACGCAGGACAAACAGTATCGCCTTCACCTTGGCGTCGCCCTCGATGCCAGGCGTCTCGATCAGGAGCTTAAACTGCGGGGACTCCTTCATCATGTCCCTGATTCCGACAAGGTCTTGGTACACCTGCAGGCTCCAGATATGCACAGCATGGGTAGACTTCTGGGGCAGAGCCGCCGAAAGGAGAGGGGACCGAAAGGGAGGCAAAGCGGGAGGATGACGAGGAGGACAAGAAAGGCAAGGGAAATGCGATACGACAAATCCGATGGATCCACGAACCTGTAGGCCAACACGTATTCAGGCACTCACGCCTTATGCTGGTGCGCAATGGTTCGCTACTCCAGGCTGCCCTATGCTATGCTGCGTGCTCAGGCGCAGTCTCTGTTTTGTGCCTGAGACCCGGAAGAATCCTAGGGTTTCCAAGGCCTCCTTGGTATCAGAGAGCGCCCGGAGGCTTCGCCAGATCTTCCCAGGTTTCCGTTGGCGACTCCTTGCTTGCAGGCCCTGCAGCCCTTTTTTCCTGCTGCGCTGCCGCAATGCTGCGTTGGCACGGTGGTGGCGGGGCTCGCCGCAGACAGCTGACATGACTTGGTTGCCGAAGCGGGAACTGTCTGAAGCTCGCGCGGACTTTTCGGATCGGCGATGGATCCCCCCAGCGGCACCTCCAGCGCCGCCCATGGCGAACTTCGCGCGCCAGAAGAGGGGAGTCCAGCGCCGATCCAAGAGATCCGCGCGGACATCCGAAAGTCTGCGTTGACTCTGGCCGTGTTTGATCGGACAGATGAAAATAGCAGTCCTCGGCGCGGACAGACTGAATTGACGCCTGCTCCTCGACCATGTGGATGCTCAAGAGACGTCCGAAATTCCCGCAAGTGGTGGTACGATGACCAAGCGAATCCAGCCGGCCCCTGGGGCACAAGTGGTTTAGAGGAGCACCTGTTCCAGAGCAGCCCCTGTTCCCTGCGTGGGCCGTCTTACTCCTCGTCTCACCTTCGGTGGCAACTCATGGGAGCCGCCCATGCCATCTTGTCGGCTCTTGCGAATCGACGCTAGACGACGCTGAATCGACGCTCGTCGACGCTAAATCGACGCTCGTCGACACTAATCCGCCGCCCCTTTAAGGGTTTCCAGGCGTGTGAAATTGTTCCCCCCGCCATACCCCCCCCCAGGGCCCCCAAACCGGGATTTGGACCCCCTCCCCCGGCCCCAGGTGGCCCCGGACCGAACGCGCCACAGGGCTCCAAAACTCACAAAAAAACACTCAACTCGCCAAAAAGGTACCAAAACGTCCCCCGGACGGCCCCCGAGACCACGACTCGCCGACATAGCGCCCCCGGGCGCCCACGATGGCCCCCAGGCGGTCTCGGAAGCTACCGAGACGCCCCAAAACGGCCCCCAAAATGCGCCCCGAGAGGGTCGCAAGAAACAGAAATCTAACATTTCCTTCGGAAGCCACGCATTATTCCGCACGCTCGCCTACTCGGCAATCACAGCGTCCACGACAAGCACAGACACCTTCAACATCGCTCCCAGACGACCAAAGGGGCCCCGAAGCAGGGTCGCTGAGGGTCCAACAACAACCCACAAAGCCTCCAAGACAGCCTAGGAGGGCCCCCAGACGGCCCCAACACGGAGTCCGCAGGGCACCTTTTTCGAGCCTTCGGCTCCAAGATGCTTCCAGCCTGCTCCAAGAACACCCCAAAAGGGCCTGTGGGACCTCCCAGAAAACCTCCGAAGCCTCCAAGAAGCCACGAGGAAGTCCCCAAGAGGCCCCAAAAGTACCTGCAAGACGACCCCGTCAGGCATCGCACGAGATCTTCTTCACCATCCGTGTGGCCGCCTACCTGTATCCCGCGCAAGGTGGCGGGATGCGCCGCGTCCCATTCGACAACGACTCGTCCAGATTTTGGGTCGCCGCATGTCGTCCATGGGCGCGGGTGTTGACAGGCATTTTCCCGAAATCGTCACTCCTCCGTCTCCTCCTCCTCCGAGGACCCTCCTCCGCCTCTCCCCCATCCTCCCCCTCTTCCTCTTCCACTTTCTCCTGTTTGGTACCATGTCACCATCTCCGCGTCTCACCATCAACAACATCACCACCAGCATCATCATCGCCATCACTCGCACCATGACCACCGCCATCATCATACCACCACCACGGATCACCATCACCACCGCCACGGATCACTGCCTTGTCGCGTGTCTGGACACATGTGATGCAACCCGCATCCGCCAACCCCATTCGGGGCCTCCAGACGTGTAAGATTCGCCCCGTGGACGGCCCCACATGCCCCCGGACTCGTTCGGGGATGGCCCCGAAGAGCCTCGAGCCCGCCCACCCAAAGAAACAAGACAACACAAGTACGCCCCGGGATAGCAACCTGACATCCCCAAGCCGATCAAGGGGTCGGCGGATGTGGCGTAAGCCTATAGAATCGATGCTAGCCGACGCCATTTCGGCGCTATCTCGTCGACTCCCAAACGCTCATCGACGCTAACCGACGCTGAAAACGGAATTGTAATGCTAGACCAGGCTCTGGTGATTTGCTACCGAAGTCGTACCCCTCCTCTAACCCACGCCGCAACACCTCCCCCCTCACCTGCCGGCGCGGAGACCGCCCCTGACCAACTGCTGCACTGAAAGGGGCGAGCCGGGGAGGGCAGTCCCTGCCTGGCCGGAGCCTCGGGCTCGAGGGCGCGGAGGGGCCCCGTGGTGGGCAGCAGCATCCGAGTGCAGCGCACGGAGGCGGAGGGAGGCGAAGGCAAGAAGGTGCATGCGGAAGAAGCTGACGGCCAAGTGAGGCGGAGGAGGAAGAGGAGGAGGAAAACAAGGAGGAAGAGGAGCGATAGCTCCAGCGAGCAGGGGAGAGGAGGGACGGCGGGGACAGACGGACAGATGGATGAAGGGAAGGGGGGGGGGGCAGGCGGACGAGAGGCACAAGGGGAAAGTCTTCTGGTTCGACGTTTCGACATTGGGCGGAAGGGGGGGCGGAGGGGGAGCGGGGGGTCTAGCTCTGGACCTCTGCTTAATGCGACTGCTTGCAACGGTGCGTCCTGTGGGAGGGACTCCACGTGCTCAAAGCAGGCACCACAAACAGCCAGGATACATTTCATGGGGGGGGACGGGGGGTGCGAGGGCCCGCGCCGATCGGCAAAACAATGAATCTGAAAACGATCACAAGCTTGGGAGCAGACGCCTATGCTGTCTATTGTGCCATGGTGTCCCTTCTCCGCCAGCGGTCTGCGCTTCCTTGTTTTGCCTTGCCGAAGCGCCCCCTGGAGGGAGGAGGAGGAGGAGACGGAGGAGGACGAGGAGGAGGAAAAAGGCAAGCGGAAATCCCAAAGTCATCAACGATGTTGGAATTAACCCTCCCTCTAAGCTCACTCCTCATTAGCCCCGACAACGTTTTATGTCCATTGGGGGAACTGCCTCGCTGGAAGACAACATTTTGAAGATCCGGAAGCGTGCCAAAACATTTTTTCGGGATTTTAACGCCACGTATCAACCTGACTGCTGCGTCTTAACGATCCAAAATCGTGCCAAAACGCCGTTTTGGGGGGACTTCAACACACCGAATCAACATACCAGTTGCGCCCACATAGTCCTGAGTCCGTCCAACACACAATTGCTGGTATGCTGCTCATGGGATTCCGTGAAACTCTTACAACAGTTTAAAGCGAATGTGCGCGGCGCTGAGGCGAGAACCACATGTTGAAAACCACCCACCTCAATCCGTGAGACTCTTGGAAACGTTTGAAACGAAAGTGCACGGAGCGAAAGCGAGAGCCACATTTTGAAAACGGCCCGCCCTCAATCTGTGAACCTGTTGTGATTTTGTAAGCTTCGGAATCATACATGGTAAGGAAAACTCAAGAGGAAGGGGAGGAAGGGGACGAGGAGAAAAAGGAGGAGGTGGGGGAGGAGGAGGAGGAGGAGGAGGATTGGATTGTATTGGATTAGACGATGCGCTGCGCGCGGCTCCACAGTCACGCCTGGGATTCTATATCCGTGGCCAACTTCGTGCGAACAGGGGCGAGGCCCTTCTCGAGGGCCCTCAAATATGCCAGGCACGTGCGCGTGGGGGGCTGGCACTCCTGCACCAACTTCCCGCCTCGCCTGTAGTGGTCCGTGCCGAACCCACAGCAGGTCGAACAGGCGAAAACCAATTCCTTTCGAGAGCCCACCCCAAACCCCCACCACTGCATCGCGTGAGACGCGTGCGCAATCACGCCATGGCGGGTTGTGGCCACGGAGTTGGGGGCCCGACAGGACGGGTTTGCAACCACTGGGGCGCTGCAGGGCTCTCGAAACCACCTCACAATGGCACACTTAGACCTTTTCTGTGGTTCAGACCCACGGGATTGGCAATGCCACCGGTGGCGATCGTCGTCGACAAGACCAAGGGGCTGGAGCGCGTCAGCTCTAGCCCGTTTCATGTCCAGTTTGGGCCGGGAGGGCCCCAGGGCCGAACGTAATTCAGAAACTGGCCGGGAAGCAAGCATCTGTGTCCAAATGGCGACTACGCGACGGCGGATGTCCTTTGACTCCACCTCGAGCTCACGCAGGGTAGCAGCGGCTCCTGCTGCGACTTGGGCCTCAGGAGACATCTTATCAGCAAGACTGTCGCATAGGGTGTTGAAGGCACAAAGGGACCTCACCTCGCGCAGAATCTGATTCATGTGCGTGGCTCTCGGTTTGTACAACTTCGATGTCCCTGTCCAGGGCTGGCCCCTTTCACCGTATCCCAGAGGCTTCGATTGCACTTCGGCTGCCAGCGCGCTTTGGCCCTGAGCCTGAAAAGACCCTCCTGGACGCATGCACCGTCCGCGAGATATGTAAGGCCCCCGCTCTGGGTAGCGCGGATAGCTTCAAAAAGCGCGAACAGCTCGGAACGAACGCTGCTTTGCTTGGGGCATGGGGCGGCACCCCCCGACACTCCGAACTTTTGAAGCCCATTCAGGCCCGTTGGGTCGGCCCCCCAAGGGGCGAAAACCACGGCGCAAGAAATCCTGCCGAGCAAAATGTGTCCTGAGCAGGGGCCCCCCCCGAGCCGCCCACCGCCGACTACATCCGCCCTCCCCCGCGCAAGCCGCGGAGGAGCGGGCGAGGGGGGCGCCGAGATGCAAGC